TGACATGTAACATCGGCATTGCATCATAAAAGTAAATGAATGTCGTGTGGTCTGACGAATAAGAGAACAATTGAAGAGAACAAATTATACAGGATCCTGATTTTAATGAAGATGAATGTTAGGGTAGAAAAGGTAAAGAGAAATTTCATTTCTTTTGAAGAAAATATCATGAAGAAAAATTTCACCAAAAAACAACAAACTGTACTTGAGTAAAAAAATAAAATAAAATAATTTTATAAAGGAATAAATTCTACAACTCTAAGCATTGATTTCAAGTGGAAATAGTCGAAACTAACAATGTGAACAAGCAGTCTTATATCTTTCCTGGTTCCCAAAAAAGGTTTATCTTTCTTTGGAAGAACACTTCGGTCCATTATAAGTTGCAACAGCACGAAAGAGGGGTATAAAAACTTCAGTTTCATATGAAAGAAATTTGTTGTAAAAATTATTAGCACTTCAGTGTAATTAAATAAAGAGGGGCCGAGAAACGGAAACTCAAATGGCACCCCCCCCCCTCTTGGCACTCATTTGGCACTACACACAGAACTCCTAAAGGGGTGCTCTGAGTGACAACACTGGATAAAGAAGTACATTCAGTTCATTTTCTTTGCAACGAGTCCTACCTCTAGCAGTCCTAGGTTAGTCAGGATATACCGAGAGTTGCTTCATTTATTCGGTATCGTCATGTAGACCCGGCACCGAGTTTGATGGCATAGGGAGCCATTAGGTATATGGCACGTGCACCTCTTGTTTGCGACATTGGTAATTTGAACAGCGAGCTTTGCATTCCTGATTGTGCTCAATAAGATAATGCAAGGCTGCATACTACGCATTGTTTCTTGACCTACCTGTACGTAAAATGTGTTCAACTGTCCCCTTGTCCATCACGCTCTTTAGATTTTCCAACCATTGAAAATATATAGTCATGGTTTATTGGGAGACAAGTCAGCCATCACGTTCCATGAAGTGGGGCACAGACTTGAAACAGCATGGAATAACTATATATATATATGTCGTGTTTTTCGAGTCAACACCAAGGCATTTTATTTTGAACTGACTTTATTCCATGAACGCAATTTTGGGTCTGTTTCTAAGAGAGAAAACGGACACGTGTTAAATGTCAGAGACGGCGGCTAATCAAAAGCCAGATGTTTTTCAAGCACACTTCTTATTGAAGAGATATATTTGAAAGTTAAGCATGATATACGAGGTAATAAAAATTAATGGTCGGAGTGGCAAAGTTCTGTTTAGGGCCATGTGTTCTTCATTCCATAACTGGATAATAAATTTAATACTTGAAGATGTAACGGGAAAATAAAAGTTAAAAGTGGTCTAGAGATTTAATTTTAGATCTAATTTAATTATGCTTGCATTTATATATGATAAAAAGAACTGAGATAAAAGTACAACTAGACGCATAGAAAGGAATCAGTAAGCCACAACAGTACAATAGTAAATTCTTGCCCTTAAGAACTAAGATTACAAGTTTAAACATTGATTTTGGCAAGCCAAAATTCAACTTTATTTTACTACACTACTGATATGTAGGGAATAGAAATATGTGAGTCTGTATAAATCATATTATTATTAGAAGATTTATTTTAATATACTGTAGTAATAGTATCCTGTAGTAATAGTATTTGTTATAATTTTCCTTCTTATAATATACTTGATATAATTAGTATCAAGTAAAATTATCAGAAGGAAAATTATAACAAATCTATTTACTTAACATTAGAAAATGAAAACTAGATGAGTATATAGTATTATTAAATCTTTTAATTCTCTCCAACATAAAACCATCTTAGAGCAGCACCATATGAATGTAAAAATTAGTTAACTAATAAAACCAAATGTAATTAGAATTTTTAAAAACTTAAAAAACCTCGGTAGGAAGAGTACAATCAATAATAAAAAGCAAGATAAATATAAACTAAAATATATTTAAAATTATTTAAACTGTAACGCTGTATTGTGACCGTATGTAGTAGAAAAATGAAATACATTATAACTGTAGGAAAATATAAAACAAAAAAAGAGTTTATTTTAGAATTTTATTTAAATTTACCATGAAAAATTTATATATATATATATATTTTAAAAAATATTACATCTAAAATAGTTATCAACCTAATATATTTATAATACATGATAGTAATATATATACTATATATATATACTATATATATATATAGAACGTTATATTTTTTTGTTAGAAACCATTCCTTTCAAATAATTTTTTTTCGAAAACGAAGAAATTAAATAGAGAAAAATATTATTCATTTAATAACTATCCAAGTCTTAGAATATTTAGGATAATGAACAAAATTTAATTTTTTTCACGTCTGTCAAAAAGAATATTTTCTTAAATTACTCTCAAGATTTACCTTTTCAAACTTTTAGATCATAGCTTAACAAACCTTCCAAAATTCGTTCAAAACAAAATCTATCGTCGTAACATGAGACAAAATTCCTACCCGGTTTTAAAATTTTCTCATGGGGCTTATCCTTATCTATTAAGCAAACAATCCTTGTCTGAGAATTTTCCTCATTTACATACAACTCTTGACCCAAAAGAAGTCTTTGCTTAATAGATCGTGCAGAATACTTACCAATATTGGATAAACTCCATGTTTGCCTTCAATGCGTTCACAAGACTTTGAAACCAATTAAGGCTGTGGACCAGGTGGTAAAGAAATAGTAAGGTTAATGTAGTAGAAATCTTTTAGAAGAAAAATCTTGATTTCGCTTCCTTTGTTCAGTTTGGGTAATGAATGCTTTCAGGTTTAATAGAATGTGCAGACTTCGGAATCAAATTTAATTCAGTGGTGATTTACGCGGCCGAAAGTGTTTGAAGGAAAATTCTGTGGTGAAGGGGAAAAAAGAATATTTAACATCTTAAATAACCTTTTTTTTTTCAAAACAAACATTAATTTAATGAGTTAACTTTCAATTTGTTTTGTTTAATTTTCAAATATTATCTTCTTAACCTCTTAAAAAATTGCATTTCAGATATTATTTTTCTAGTTTTTGTATTTCAAATATGTGTATAAATACTATTCGCGCGCGTGAGGAGATTTTTTTCAAGGGCATTCAATAAAAAATACAAATTAGAAACAAAATTCAAACATTTTTTTTTGTTTATTTTTTATTTAGTTCCTACTATTAGTTCACTCTCTCCCTACATATACACTGGTGTCCAAAAGTTAAGCATAAATCGAAAAATGCAAAAAACATGGAATAAATATTCGTAAAATTGTTCCAAATTTCTTGCGGATATTGATTGGGTGAAGAAGAAACATTGGGTTATAATGCAAAACTTTTCAGCCGACGACGTCTTGCGCGAAACACCGGCGCATGTCGGAACGCGGAGAAACCGATTCACGCAGCATAGGCAGTTCAGACAAGTTTCGTGCCACTGCTGTGCGAAGGAACGTTGTTAACCATCAAACAAGGTGAATGATGGCACAAAGACGCCAATTGGATATGTTTACGAAAGGAAGAATCGATGGAATGCTGGAATCCTCACGATCACAAACCGAAGTGTCTCGATTTCTGAATGTGGACCAGTCTGTGATCTCAAGAGTGTGGCAGAGGTTTCAAAGAACGGGAGATGATACCCGACAACTAGTATCAGGTCGACCAAGAGTCATACCCCCTCGCCAAGACCGATATCTGGTAATAAGTGCGCGACGTCAGAGGGGCAGAACTGCCAGAGCACTGGGTTCGGCCTCACAGTCACCACAGGAATACGAATTTCGAGACAAACTGTTTACAGGAGACTCAATCATACTGGCCTGTATGCCAGAAGACCAGCAGTTTGCATTCCCCTCACGTCTGCGCATGAACGCGCTCGTTTGAACTGGAGTTTGAAACATCAACATTGGAGTGTGGGAGAGTGGGCCAATGTGATGTTCAGTGACGAGTCCCGGTTTAGTCTGAGTAGTGATTCTCGGCGGGTAACGATATGGAGAGAACGTGGAACACGTTTTGAACCAAGAAACATAACGTAAAGACATCATTTTCCATGAAGGTGAGTAATGGTATGGGCAGGCATTATGATGGACAGCCGCACATATCTCCATTTCTTTGACATGGGGTCTGTGACTGCTCAAAGATACAGAGACGAAGTTCTTGAGCATTATGTTCGCTTGTTTAGAGATGCTGTCGGTCCTGACTTCATATTCATGGATGATAATGCGCCATGTCACTATGGGGTGCTGATTGATGACTTCCTTGAAACGGAGGATTTCGTGGCCTGCAAACTCCCCTGATTTAAATACTATCGAGCATGTATGAGATATGCTCTGGAGACAAATTGCAGCCCTTTTGCACCCACCAAGCTCCGTGACAGAACTGAAGAGAGCTCTCTAAGAAGCTTGGAACCGTTTGAGCCCACAACTCATTCATCATCTCATAGTAAGTATGGTAAATCGCTGTGCAGCGTGCCTGGCTGTCAGAGGTGACCACACGCCTTATTAAACTGCAGCATTAGTATTTTATTTAATGTTTTCTTTCTTTTTTTCTTTAAAGTGTGAATCCTTGCTATGCTCAGTTTTCTTTCAAACTGCTACTTTGGATAATAAAATTAATTATTATTATTCTTTTGATTTGCTTCCTTATTTTATAACCATTATATATAATCAAAACCATCTACTTCTTCAGAGATGAATAAACAGTAATCAGAACTGAAAAAAATTTAAATTGCAAGATAAGCAGACAATAGATTCTAGAAAGGATGCATGAAAATTTTTTAAAAACATAATAGAGTTAAATATAAATATATAGATGCTACAGTATTATAAGCATTGCTGACATAGAACAGCTTATATATATATATATATATATGTCAAATCAATGGATCAATGGATCTGTTCAAATATATTTTCTTAAACTTGTTCATGCTAATACATTTTTTGAAATATTAATTCATTACTTAAATTAAAATGAATAAATAGTAACAAACAAAATCGTATATAGAAAAGAAAATCGTTGGTTTCGTCTCTTTAGCGCAATGGTTAGCGTGTTGGACTTCTAATCCATCTGTCGTGGGTTCAAATCCCACATGGAATGGCCTAATTTTTGAGAGTGTGTTTTCTTTTCTTTTTTCTATTTCATTAGAATAATTAAATTTAATTATATTAAATAATTAGTAACGGACACAAAGAAAAATAGTCCAACACCATATATAGAAAAAAAATGGAAAATTGCCAGGAAAATCGCTTTTTATTTTGTTACTTAATATTGTGATTCTGTCATACGTATATACATATTTATATATATTAATTGTAACTATTTAATAAAAAATTACTATAAAATAAAAATTTTCTTTCTTGACCTAAGTAGGAATTGACTTAATTTTTTTTCTTTATTATTACTTGTTATACGTAAATATGCACTTTCACATAATTCATCAGTCACAAAAGTAAATTGAAATTTACATGCAATAAAAGTCTAAGAGCCAATTTTTTATTCCATGCCTAATTTTTTACTAGCTGCCTGACCCAGGCGTCGCACAGGCTTTGTCGAGTGTAAAATGTTATGACTGTGGAAATTTACCCTCTCGGTAACAGCATTACCTGGTAGGTGTGTGATTTCTCTATAAATGACATTAAAATTCTTTTTTTAAAATTTATTTCACCTGTTTACTCTGTCGGATATGTATGTTTCCCCTCCATTTAGCCCGGCGTTGCACGGGCCTTTTCACGAGCATTACTTTATCCCAATGGAGATATCCTTTTTCAAGATTACCACTTTTTTTCCTTTTCTCTCGATGTCAGCAGTTCTGGGTGAGGGTGTATGGCGATGTGCATGATTTCCATACATATGTCATTAAAATTATCTTTTCCGAAATGTCTTCAATTTCTTTTCCCTTACAGAAAATATACTTACATAGTATGCTTATATTCTATAAAAAGAAACATAACTATATTTAAAACTATACAAAATTATCAAGCATTTACATTTTTCTCAATTTAATATTTATTCAAATCCTAAATACGAGGGTGAGTCGGAAAATAAGTTTTCTCTGTCGACTGTGGTCAGAGTTGTGTATGAAAGTCAAAACATAGAATGAGGCATTAAAGATATGACATAACTTTAGTTTTCCACACAAGTACCAAGTGCACTGAGACATTTGTCATACCGCTCGATAAGTTACAAAAAGTCCTCCAGGAACAATTCAGGGCTTTACATACGGAAGAAGCGTTTAACGACTATGGGAGAATGATAAAACATCAGGTGAACGCCCAAGACATCAATGCGCCATTGGGTAGAGATCGACCGCGATCAAGCAGATGGATTTGTAAAGAGTGTCCATGGTTTCTCAGACCTGGCGCTCTGTTGTTGGATGACAAAGCGAGATCACACTCAGGGACGGCAATGTAAAACCATATTGCAACTCTTGGTTGAGAGCACCTACACCATCCTCCGTACAGTCTTGATCTCACACCAAGTTACTTTGATCTGTTTTCGACTTTGAAAAAGAATCTCACTGGGAGGCACTTTGGAAGCAATGCTGAAGTCAAAAAAGCTGTTAAACGCTTCTACCGTATGCAAAACCCTGAGTTTTTCCTGGAGGGTTTTCTCAATCTTATCAAGCGGAATGACGAATGTCTCAATGTACTTGGTACTTATGTGGAAAAATAAAGTTATGTCTTATTTTTAATATCTCATTCTATATTTTGACTTTCATACACAACACGACCACAGCCGACAGGGGAAACTTATTTTCCGATTCACCCTCATAACATAAAACACACACACAGTTTTCTTAGTAATCTATGTTTAAGCATATATTTTCAAATTCAAATCCACGGATATTAATGCGACTTCGATATCATAGAAAATGTTAAACGTGGTCGTGAAATAAACTGTTAAGCAATGTAAAAAAATTATTATTTATACATTTAGTCTACGAGAGCTCATAAAATGCTAAGTGATTTTTTTTTTAATTAAATTGAAACATATACTAGTAAATACCTATTTAAATCACACGTTCAATAATTTAGAAAAGATTGCTTATTTCTTTACGACTACCTAATTCCTATTAAGGCCTTAGGCAACTCTAGAAGCCGAAAAAATGGCTTTGGGGAGATTTTTTTTTCAGAAATGCTGCAAAATAAATCGAGTTTACAAAAGCAGGGTGTTATACACATCGGTCACTGTTTACAATAATTTTTTGAAGCGATTAGTTTCAAAATGGTGGCTGTCCAGTGTTTTCGCAATGGCGTCTCCATTTTTTCAGGGTCCACGGCCGGACTAAAAAATCCTGTAATTGTTTAATCATATTGAGCCAATGAATTTTTTTCGATTATATATAATAACTGCTATAGAAGAACGTAAAGTTTTTGCGATATATTGGTTTTTGACCAAATGGCTCACTTCTAAACAACTAAAAAGTGAAAAATTTGCCTAAAAAATTGTCAGATAATTGTTACTATTGGGTTGATGCATAATTATCCGGCGTTTATATCAGTGCGTTTTTCATCAGTGAAAAGTAGCGTTTTGTTTATTATTTTTGTATAAAAATAATCTTTTCTATTGTTTTAGAAAAATGCGTGTCGAAAACCATAGTCATATTCGCCATATTATGCTCTACCACTTCGAGAAAGGATGGAAAGCAGCACAGTCATTTCGCGATCTCAACGAACTTTTTGGCAAAGGAACAATCAGCGAAAGTCAGTGTAGGGAGGGTTTGCCCGTTTCAAATCAGGTGATACCAGCTTGGAGGATAAGCCAGGAAGAGGTCGGCCATCCGATTTCGACGATCAGGCTCGGGATCGATGATCAGATGACTTGGTGGCCTATGTCAAAGCGTGCATGGCCTCTAAGAATCGTGTCTTCTTCGTTTGTGGAATTGACCGTCTGCCAAGCAAATGGGAAGCAGTAATTGAAGTAGATGGTGACTACGCTCCAGAATAATCGTTTAAACATGTTTTTGTCAAATATTTTTACTGGTTTTGTTAAATAAAATGTGTTGAAAAAACGCCGTATAATTATGCATCAACCCAATAGCAAATGATTTATGCAAGATAAAAAAATCCTATGTACTTCCATAAACAATGTATTTTTCAAGACATAAAGACAGTTTCAATTGAATCGGTTGAAAACTGTCTGAATTATGAGTCAGGCCTACTTAAAAAATGCAGTTTTGAGGTAAATGCGTTTGAAGTTTGGGATAGTAGAAAATCATGAAAAATGTTGCAATACCTTTAATGTGCGATGCCTACAACAAACAATTGGCCTTCCATATTAATGTTCTGCTATTAGCTTTCTTTTATGCTTGATCTTGAAGCGATTCTTGCCTCTTTTATCTGGTCAGAAAGAGATCTCTGTGTGAGCTCTTAGGTAACTGGGACGTCTGCGAGAAGGAAAAATGAACTTTTTTGCACCAAATTTAGATGGTTCTCACTTACTTAAAGTAATTTATGTACTTGCTAATGTAAAAAAGTTTCATTTTAAATTACAAATAAATCTGTAAGAGCAATAATTAATCAAAAACTATTTTTTTTTATTTTCAAGCATGTTCTTACCTTTAGGTACACTTTGCATAAAATATATTGCATATATAGCTATAAAATTTCACAGGGTTTTTGTAAACATAACTATTCATACAATGAACAAAATGAAATTTTAAAATATAAGTTAATAAAATTTTTTAAAAATTTTTAATTTAGTGATTTAAATTTCTTTTAAATTTTATGCAGAAATTGTGCTATATCTGAAATTTTTGAATGTTTATTTTAAAACGAATTCCTTCACTTTGTTAAAAGCTTGTATTATGCAAAATATCAGGATTATAGATAAAGTAGATTTTGAGGAAAGTGTACCGGAATCACCAAAAAATGCGTTTTGAGAAAATTGCAAATGAAGATATTTTCATCTATGATTTGTAGAATAATATATTTTAATACAATATAACGTCATACCATTGTTAATTGGATTATTTCGCATCGTTTCTCAGTTTTTAAATTGTAAGTTTAAAATTCTAGATTAGTTAGAATTATTTTTAATTAATCGTTCCCTACTTCATCAATACGTGTTATCAACGATTCACACCATCTTCCATTTAAAATACCAAAGTTTTATGTCTATAAGTTTTAGCATTTTTACTTCACTTTAAGTATCATCATTACAGAATATTACAAAATTCCTTACACTTATTTTTATTGTTATAAAAATGCACAAAAAATGTTTTTGATGAATTTACGTAGTTAATTTGATGTTTAAATGGAACTTTGTTTTTAAATATTATGACAAAAGAGTTTCCTTTTTTGTATTCATACATATGAATATTTATTTATTTCATTGCAAATTTAAAAGTTATAAACATATAGAGAGTTATTCATGAGCATTTAAATGTTAACAATAAGCAGTTAGGAAAAATGAAATGTCTATTTTACAAGCTGTGAATTTAATTTAGAATAATCCTTAAAATCTACTGTGCATTACATCCACTTGATTTATAATTTAAAAACTACACTAAGCAAAATGCAAAACTAAACATAAGTATCATTTCAAAAAAACCATTTTTTTATTCAAAATTTTGTAACAAATCATTTAAATTTTCCGTAATTTTTGCACAAAAAATTTACAATTTTCAATAAATTTAAACATATGCTATAGAAAAACTATTCTTCGAATAGAAAAATTAGTTTTTTACAATACGTACTGAACACTGCGGGTTTTGAAGAAAGTGTACCTGAATCACAGTTACATCACATTTGTTTACAAGTTTAAATTCAATTTTCTAGCGTTCTTTTGATAGAATTTTCATAAATAATACATCTATAGAAGCATCAAAGTGCCTCTATTTTTAAAAGTAAAATTAAAAAGTGCAAAATGTAAAGCACCTTCACGTCCCAGTTAGCGTATGCGCTGTTTGTCGATCTATAGACACATTTCGTAGCTGCTAGGGCCGATTTCCATGTTCGTTGGCTTCATTATGTGCAATTGAAGAAACCCATCATTGAACACACAAGCCGAGACACAAAAGTATCGAGAAAAACGAGTTTCTGTCGACTAGCGTCCTTCTCAAATGCTTACTGTGCCTAAAGTAATGGTTTCCTAGG